CAGCTCCGCTAAAACTATCTTAACTACTAATAACAGGTCAAAGGGGAGGTTCAACCGTGTCGTTCTTCCATTATTTTTTCTTAACGCCACGAGACAAATGACTCCCACGGTTAATCAATTCTTCTCCCCCGTACGCCGTTGGTTTTAAATTGAAAATAAATTTCCACTCTAACGAAATTAACGGTCGTAACGAACTCGAAACAGATTGTGGATGAATAGTTGGAGGTAAATAAAAAATATCAAAAAAGCTTCCCAGCGAATTTGTGGTGTTTAGGTGATGAAGCCTTAATGAGAGACGCAAGTGGTAATAATAACAACAATAATAATAATAATAGACTATAACTTCGTCAGGAAATGTCAGCACAAATTTAACTATCTGTTTAACTGAGAGAGAGAGAGAGAGAGAGAGAGAGAGAGAGAGAGAGAGAGAGAGAGAGAGAGAGAGAGAGAGAGAGAGAGAGAGAGAGAGAGAGAGAGAGAGAGAGAGAGAGAGAGAGAGAGCCGTATTTTATGAGGCAATATTGGGAACTCTGAAGTCTGGAGAGGAGTCGACATAACTCTTACACACAAACCCTGGCGCTGAAAAGCCACAGTGTGAGAGTGAGTGAGAGGAGCCACAAGAAACATGAATACGTAAACACTATCCATGAATTTTCTTCAATGGGGGAGAGAAATAGTGACCACGTTTTTATATTTATTTATTTTTTGTGGATGAGTACAAGTTTTTACTATATATATATATTTACTTTTGTGGGCGTCAGAACTGTATAGCATAGTGTTGCAAGTTACACGTCATAAGCTCCACCACGTGAGAGTAAGGATGGATGGATGGATGGATGGATGGATGGACGAACGAACGGACGGACGGACGGGCATGCACTCTCACACACACACACACACGCGCAAGCATACGCACGCACGCACACGCACGCACGCACGCACGCACACACACACACACTGGCGTGGAGGCTCTTGTCGTAAAATGGTTAAGCGCTGACAGCTTGATATGTGACCGTCTTATTGTGGCCTTAGGGGGAGGGGGAGAGAGAGAGAGAGAGAGAGAGAGAGAGAGAGAGAGAGAGAGAGATGAATAAAAACATGACATATAGTCAATAAGGACTGAAATACTACTCCTACTACTCACTACTACTCCTACTACTCACTACTCAATACTACTCACTAGTCCTACTACTCACTACTACTCCTACTACTACTACTACTACTACTACTACTATTTATACATTTACTACTATCAACGCAGTCAAAATCAGACGCGATAAATTTAGGGGAGAAACTGCAGAAAATCAATCTAACAGTGGAAGCTCTGTAATCCATCTTGCTATACATTAAACCGTTGCTACAGTGCTCACCAGTAATTGTTCTCACTTGCGGCGCTCAACGGATACGATTAACTGAGTGAGTTTATCGATTAACAGAGGGACATATGTTGTGCGTTAACTGTGAACGACTCCTAGAACCAAATATGAATAAGCCAAGAATTTAGAGGGATTTATCAAAAAGCTCTTTCCCGTCACTCACAACAACAAATGGGTCGGTATAGGCACTGTAGCTAATGAAATACAATGGAAACTTTGGCCAATTTATTACAACCTCGCTGTGTCAACTGAGTACGGCACACGTGAACCATTTTAACACACCATCGCAATCAAATTAAGAGCGCGGGAGCCACAGTCAACAACACACACACACACACACACACACACACACACACACACACACACACACACACACACACACCGATTAATTACCAACGCCACCGCCACTAGCATCACCTTTTACAACACATTCACCTCAAGCATGGCATACAGGCACAAATTTGTTACCGCTCTTAGTCATGGCCTGGGTACACACACCTCCGACTAAAAGAATAATAATAAAAACAGTTGGTTCAGAATTACAACGCGACAGCAAACAAAGGGCAAGAGAGACTGTGTGTGCAAACAAAACACTAAGAGATACCAGCCATTAGGCACCCCGGAGAACCCCACCCTGCACGCCTGCCCTTCCCCTCTCTCTCCCTCTCCTTCCCTTAGCCAAGCGTCTGCCATGAGTGAGTTTACTGAATGCTGACTTTAATCGAGCTTCCCCAAATACAATAGACACCTCACACCACACTTAATTGGGATCAGATTCCTGCATTTGTAGTGTCGTGGTGAGTCGAGTTACTTTTAACGATGTAGCTTCTGCGGGAACTGTTGGGACCTACAGTGTAATAATAATAATAATAATAATAATAATAATAATAATAATAATAATAATAATAATAATAATAATAATAATAAAAATAATAATAATAATAATAATAATAATAATAATAATAAAACATGAATATTAATAAAAATACTATTAATAGTAGTAATAATAAGATCAGTAATAAACTGACACACGGAGGAGGGGGGAGGGAAGGGAGAGGGAAGGAGGGAGTGAGGGAGGAAAGGAAAGAGAGAGGAAGGGGAAGGACTATTGGTTCAATAAAGTTTGTGTTGTATCTAGTACTGGTGTAAGACTGGGTAAACACACACACACACACACACACACACACACACACACACACACACACACACACACTATTCACCAGCAAAAATATCCATTACCTAACGTTAAACAAAGCTTTTAACAGATAATCACTTGCTTTTAATTCGCGCGCGCGTGCGTGTGTGATAATTCTGCCGGACCTATAATTATATTACTGGTTACGTACAAATAACTCACCCTTCACATCCTGGCATACTAATTACAGTTAAATACAGGTAAGTTACGGCTGCATCCATTACCATTCTCGGTCAGTTAAATACCCAGCGAGTTAAAGATACAGTATTAAGTTAAGGTATTAGTATGGGATGGTTAAGGGGTTGTAAACAGGTGATTCTCTCAGGTGATTTATGTAAGTTTAAGTTCCTCAGGTCACATGTAAGTATATAATATCCTAAGTGAGCCAGGTATGTGGAAAAGGTATGCGAGTCAGGTATGTGAGTCAGGGATGTGAGTCAGAGATGCAAGTCAGGTGTCGCTCCCCTCCCCCCCTGCCGAGTCACCTCAGTGAATTAGCCAATAAAGGAGAGGTCAGTCCACGTCGCTAAAGCTGCCAGCCAATAGGATTAAGTCAATCAAGTTAACATTTATTCAGCCAGTAAAGTGTTGCTTTGTTCTCTACACATATAAAATACATCTGACTTGTATAACTGACTCTTGTGTGTCTATCTGACTCATATGTGTCTATCTGACTCGCATGTGTCTGTACCTGACTCATATGTGTCTGTATCTGACTCACATGCTTCATTTATACCTGACTCATATGTGCCTTCTTCTGACTCAAGCGAGAACTACACAGATGTGACTGACATGCCTAAATTACATGTAACTTACATCTCATAACTCAAACGTGACTTACAACCTTACACTATGATTCATGTCTGACTCACACCTGACTTTCCTCACCTTATGACTCATTCGTGATGACATGACATCCTGAAGTCAGACTCTCATCCTTGACTCACACAAATGAAAAATACACTGAGAGAGAGAGAGAGAGAGAGAGAGAGAGAGAGAGAGAGAGAGAGAGAGTCATAAGGGCGTATGTGATGTATGGTGGGGTAAAAATATCACTCTTATTACACATAGCTGGCGTGCTCGACCCTCTCCTGGCCTTACCCGTATGTTACTAATATAAGCCGTTATCTCTCTGTCTCTCAGTGTCTTATTATCTCTCCTTGTGTATCTCCTTCTGCCCGTATTTTATTCTCTCTCCCTGTCTCTCTCTCTCTTCGCTCTGTTATTATTATTTTCTCTCACTTTTGTTGGTTTTTTCTGTGTGTGTGTGTGTGTGTGTGTGTGTGTGTGTGTGTGTGTGTGTGTGTGTGTGTGTGTGTGTTGTACTCCAACAATCACTAAATATTTTTCACCACATTTAATTAATTTTATTCCAGGTAACATATTATTTTTCTTCTCATTAAAATTTGACTGAGAACAAAAAACAATATTCACTGAGGTCTTCGTTAACTAAGAAGTGTACAGCAATTAACCATTATTAGTACAACGGTTAATTTGAATGATAATAACAACGCATTCATTAGACTTTGCCTAAACACACACACACTCACGTCTAACTATTAATGCAATATATCTGAATTTTACAGGAACGCTCTCTCTCTCTCTCTCTCTCTCTCTCTCTCTTTCTCTCTCTCTCTCTCTCTCTCTCTCTCTCTCTCTCTCTCTCTCTCTCTCTCTCTCTCTCTCTCTCTCTCTCTCTCAGCGGTATACAGTACACTTAAAACAGACGGAGTTACATTAAAAAAAAAAATATTCCCCCTCAATCCAAATGTTCTTTTTTTTTCTCTACTACAAAATAAACAAAACACTTTTCTCCTATATAACATAACACAAAAAAAAACCCCAGTAGTTAAGCCACAAAAACTCATCTCCAGTATTACCATATAATCTATAACTCGAAAAAAATTATTCATATAACACAGAAAAAATAATAATTTACATATATGTGAAAAAAATATCATAATAACAACAAAAACAACAAAAGAGAGTAGAAAAATGTTGGGCTGGTCAGAGATGAAAAATGTATTTTCAATTAAACGTTTTTGCCGCAGTGAATAGCGAAGCTTGTCCATTATTTACACTACGACCCTAAACCCTGGAGGAATTAGGCCAATTGTTGTGTTATTATGTGTGATCGAGTACGTCCAGCCAGCCTGCCCAGAGTACAGTGTTGATCTTGTAGTACTCTGCGTTTTGAGTGTGTGTGTGTGTGTGTGTGTGTGTGTGTGTGTGTGTGTGTATACTGGTGCAGCTTTATAAAGTATAAATATTAACGAGTACATTATTCTTTTTCCAGAGTACAATTTTCGCATAGTAGTCTACAGTTATTATCTATAATTGATGGAGTACTCATTAAACAGAGCATTTTTCGTGAAGTACTGTTTAGCTGAGTACAACGTTGACAGAACAGTAGTGAGAGAGTACAACTTGTCAAAGAGCACAACTCATCACAACAGTACAACAACTCATCACAAGAGTACAACAACTCATCACAACAGTACAATAACTCATCACAACAGTACAACAACTCATCACAACAGTACAACAACTCATCACAAAAGTACAACAACTCATCACAACAGTACAACAACTCATCACAAAAGTACAACAACTCATCACAACAGTACAACAACTCATCACAACAGTACAACAACTCATCACAAAAGTACAACAACTCACCACAAAAGTACAACAACTCATCACAAAAGTACAACAACTCATCACAACAGTACAACAACTCATCACAACAGTACAACAACTCATCACAAGAGTACAACTCATCACAAGAGTACAACTCATCACAACAGTACAACAACTCATCACAACAGTACAACAACTCATCACAACAGTACAACAACTCATCACAAAAGTACAACAACTCATCACAAGAGTACAACAACTCATCACAACAGTACAACAACTCATCACAACAGTACAACAACTCATCACAACAGTACAACAACTCATCACAAGAGTACAACAACTCATCACAACAGTACAACAACTCATCACAACAGTACAACAACTCATCACAAAAGTACAATAACTCATTACATAGTATATTTTTTTTTACCCAAGTTAAAACTTTAAAATTACAACCAAATAAAACTTTTTCAGGTTCGTATCCCAGGTAGTACACACAGTAGCCGCCAGTACTACAACGTATGCTGATTTCTCTGCAGCATATTCCCCCTGCAACATATCCCATACCTGCAACATAGCCCATACAAGCAACATACACTTGCTTCTTTGCAACATATTCTACTTTATGTTATATGCCACTTCCTTTACCCCCACCTACACACACCACCAATCCCTTCCCCCCCACACACCCCTCCCCCCACACCCCACCTCCCCCACACACACTAATGACCATAATATCTCTCAGCCAGAACTATTCGTGGGATAAAACACAGCCAAAAATATAATATATACAAACATAAAGGTAAAAAATGACTGTTGCCGCTCATGTGTTTGTATATATTTACACAACACACGTGGATCACCCCCACCCCACCCCCGAAAAAATATAAATATGCATATTCCCAAAAAATATTAATTAGGACACACACACACACACACACACACACACACACACACACACACACACACACACACACACACACACACTCTCTTCCTACTCCCTCTCATCCTCACACACACTCCCTCTCACTCCCCACTTCCTCATACACTTCCTTTTCTCCAATATACTTTTCACTCTCCTTCTCACTACCGAGCCACTCCATCCCTCTCACTTTTCTCTCATTGTCCACTCTCATATCCTCCCTCTCACTCCCACCAAACTCTCTCTCATTTATACTACTCTTCCTCCGCAACTTTCTTACATCCCACTCTCTCTTACCGCCCACCCATTGACTCCTCCTCACTTCCACTCTCCCTCTCCACTCCTCTCCACCTCCCCTCCCTCCCACTGTCCACTCTCCCTCCTCACTGCCCACTCTCTCCCCTTTCACTGCCCACTCTCCCTCCTCACTGTCCACTCTCCCTCCCCAGCCCACCTCCCTCCCTTTTCCCCACTGCCCACTCTCCCCCCACTGCCCACTCTCCCTCTCACTGCTCACTCTCCCTCTCACTGTTCACTCTCCCTCCCACAGCCCACTCTCCCTCTCATTTCCTCCACTGCCCACTCTCCCTCCCACAGCCCACTCTCCCTCTCATTTCCCCCCACTGCCCACTCCCCCTCACTGCCCACTCACCCGAGACAGTGTACCCATATTGCCACATTTAAGTATCTCGGGTGTATAACAGTGGAAGTTTTACAGTCTGAGACGACACCTGCTGGCTGGCCTCATCTCCTGCTGGGGGAGGAATGACCCGCCCACCCAGGGGCCCTTTACCACCCAAGGGGCCATTTATTACCCCCCAGGGCCATTTATTATCTCCCAGGGCCATTTATTATCCCCTGGGATATTTTTTCCCCCAGGGGCCACTTATTATCCCCAAGCCCAATTATTACCTTACTGGACCATTTATTGCCCCAAGGCTATTTAGTACCCCCAAGGTCATTTACTAATTTATGAACCATTTAATTAACCAAGGGGCCCTTTACCACCCAAAGGGCCATTTACTACCCCAGGGAGCTCTCTACCACCCCCAGGGGCCACACAATCTGAGGTCTCTAGCGACCACGGGCTCTCTCTCACCCTGGGGAACTCCGCAATCCAGGGCGAGTTCCGACCATCACCCTGGGTGTCTGAAGGGGTCTAGACACGAGGAAATTACTGGAGAGAGAGAGAGAGAGAGAGAGAGAGAGAGAGAGAGAGAGAGAGAGAGAGTCTAAGGGCCGTCTCGATGCAAACGACTAAACTTGCAGTGTTGTGAGAGACTTTGAGAATCTCTCTCTAGATTGATTTTTGATTTTGATTTTGCCGCTTGCAGCGGCTACTTTATTGTGCACCCCACACTCATCCTGTGAGCGGTAGCGCAAAAGGATTACAGAGTAGGGTTTACAAAGGGTCATAATAATTAACCCCGGTTGTCAGGATATTATGGCACCGAAAGTTACACAGTATTTCATTTACATTATTTGTTTAGTTCTATACATAAAGGGTAACTTATTCACAAATGCGTGAGAACAGGCGTGTGAGGCAGTATGTCTGGCCTCACACTTTGTTATTCACATTTACGTGGGAGGTATTCAAGCACATTGCGTATTTGGTTCTGTACATGAGAACTGATATAGTTACTGAGTGCAAAAAAGTGGATACAATCTTAATATGTCGGCTATCTTGCCATTAGAGATGAAGTGTTGTGCCATTTCACACACAGTGTGCTTGGACCTGTCCCTAAAAGGTTCTATCTTCACACAGTCGAGGACGTAGTGTTCAAGTGTGTGGCCATATGTATGGCCACACACTTTACATTTAGTTTTGTTTACATCTGCTTGAGGAACATACTGCCAGAGGTACTTATATCCTAACCTTAATCTAGCGGTTACAACATCTTGTAATCTAGTGATCTTGTTACTTGCTCCATATACATGTTTCACTTGATACATCTCATCATGGTAACCTATGGATCGACTAGTGCCTGTTTGCACTTGTCTACTTGCGTCAAACTCATCAATAAGTTCTTTCCTAATTATAGTTTTAAGGGTTCTTTTTGACAGACCCAAATTGTATTCAACGGTGTCTTTGTTAGACGCGAGTTTGGCGAGGGCATCAACTCTGTCATGTTTTATGAGGCCTATGTGAGAGGGGATCCACAACAGTTTGACCCTGACACCCCGGTCAACAAGGCACGCATATTTGTGTCTGGCTTCAGAGACAAGATCGTGACAACCTGAGTCGAGGGTACCAAGGGCAAGTAGTGAGGATAGAGAGTCAGTGATGATGAGACTGTCAGTAACAGTGGTTTCAATGAATTTAATAGCTGTGAGTATGGCAACTAATTCAGTTTGTAGAGTGGATGCCCAGTTGTTAATTCTAACTCCTTTCTCAATTATATTACCGTCAGGTTGAGTCACAACAATAGCACTTCCAGCCCTCCCACAGGCGGTGTTTAGAGATCCATCAGTGTAGATGGTCTGTGTGATATTATCATCAGTCTGTAGAGTGTGTATGTGTTCAAGGGCTCTCAATTTGCAGTGTGTTGGAGATAAATGCTTTATATAATTAATTTTTTAGGCGGATACGTCGGTATTGTGATATCGAAGGGAACTGTCCGCCAGGGTGGCAGGAAGCGCTGTTGTGTCTCAACTTTGTACAGGTGGTCTAGTCCAAATATCTTCATATGTGTAGCTGTAGTTTGGATCCATTTAGACTCAGTAGTCCCATGGTTCATACATTCTAGCAATTTTAAGGAAACAATGTTATCAGGATCACCACGCAGAAGCCTCAGGGCTATCATGAGGTTGACTTCAATTATTCTATCTTTAACACTGGGTATACCTAGTTCTTTCCTCATATTAAGTACTTTAGTGCTCATGGGACATCCTAGGATAATTCTGAGGGCTTTATTTTGCATTTTCTCGAGCTTGTCAACGCCTTTCCCGTCACGAATGACCAGGGCTGGTGCGTGGTAATCTATCAGAGATCTTATATAGCCTAGGTACATTGTTTTAACAATTCTAATATTAGCACCATAGTGCGGGCTGTACCCCGCTACACTTCTAAGAGGTCTCAGTCTGTCAGTACATTGGCGGGTTAGCTGTTGTATGGCAGGTAGGGTACAAGGGACGGAAACACCAAGATATTTAAAAGAAGAAACATAGTCAATAGTGTTGTTACCTATCTTGAACTTGGCGGGGCCGCGTTTGCGGTTACCAGCTTGTTTGTTGAACACCTTAGTTTTCTCAGTGGAGATAATAAGACCGAGGTGTTCACAGGCTGCGTATACATGGTTCAGGGTGGTTTGCATTTCACGATGAGTTTTAGTATGTATAAGAATATCATCAGCATAGCTGATTGAGATATTGCTGGGGTTGTCTGGTATTAAATTTAATAATGCATTCATAAGAACATTGAACAAAGTGGGGCTAAGTACTCCACCTTGAGGGGTACCAAGTTGCATATCTTTAACTTCACTTTTGTAACCCTGAAACAGTGCAGCAGCCCTTCTGTTGGTTAGGTAACCACTTATCCAGTGTAACAGCCTACCTCCTATATCCATTTTGGCTAGTTCGTACAATATCAGTTGCCTATTGGCAATATCAAATGCAGCTTTTAGGTCAAGAAATGTGGTGTATCTGTGCCTTTCATCACCATGCACAGTTAGGAATGTGGTGATGCAATTATGTACACCTTTACCATGGGTGAAGCCATTTATGTTAGGAGACATGTGTTCTCTGATTCTATATAAGAGTCTGCCAAGAACCATCCTCTCAAAGGTTTTACACAGGCAGCTGGTTAGTGATATGGGACGAAAGGCATCAGGCTGTCCTGGTTTCGGTATTGGTACAACAATACTGCTGGTCCATGATGTGGGTAGTTGGCCCTCGGCATGACTCATATTGTACAATACCAACAATGGATTGCCTGGCACGCGCCTTAGTAGTCTAATGATGTTGTAGGTGACTCCGTCCTCTCCAGGGGAAGTAGACCTACCCCTGGCGAGGGCGGCGTCAAGCTCCCACTCAGTATATGGAACATCACACTCATCGTGCTGTTTGCCCAGCATAAAGCTAATAAGATTACTTCTCTCTACAGACTTCGCATCAAGGAGTCCCCGAGTCCCAGCTGGTAACATGTCATAGCTCGACACATGAGCCCACTTTGTTATTAGCTCATTCGACTTTTGCAGAGGGTTTGGATGGGAGACGTGTCTTCTGTTTTTACCTCTGATTATGTTTATGTCTTTCCAGGCTTTGCTGAGGGATGTGTGTTGGTTCAGGCTGTTGACATATGTCTCCCATGCATTTTGTCTGAGTTCGTTTACACGTTCCCTGACAGCAGCAAGGGAAGCTTGATACAATTGTAACATTTGAGGTGTTCTAAATTGTCTGTAACCCTTACCCACCCTCCTGACCCTAGCCCTGAGTTTTTTCAGCTCAGGGTCATTATAGCACTGCTGTTGCCT